CTCCGTGTATCACCTGTGGTGCCACACTTTGTAGTCATATCCCCAGGGATAAGAATACAAAGCACCCATTTCTAGTTCAGAAGCAATTCAAAACCATGGTTTACTGTTATTGCACCTGAGGACACAAGAGCCTTGATGATCTCTTATCTCTAGAAGCAATGAAAAAAGAATATAGGGTCTCCAAAAAGTTAAGAACTTCCAAACGGCATGAAAGAATAATTTTTCATCTTTTAATTTTAAATAGGGAGACTAGTCAAAATTTGAAAACACAAAGAGATGATTCAACTGAAAGTCTGGATGTACTATATCTGTAGATTCAAAAAAATGTTACTTTCTTAAAACCTTTTTAAAAAGTTAAAGTAGGATGCCCATGATAGACACACACCAATACCAACAGTGACATGTTACAGGAACCACATCTAAACAGAGGATATGATACGTGTCATTGTTCATTTGTATTTGGGTTGAGGCTCCTTTTGTAAACAAATGTTACTATATCCTAAAATATTTATGTACAAAAGAAACACACACGCATCTGAAAAAACATTTGAGAATTCCTATTAATCCTACATAAGTATGGGCAGAACTTTCAAATCCATTTCCACGGACTTCCTCCTTTCTGAGTCCAGCCTGTGACACCACCACATGGTTTCTTTTAATAATAAAAAACTAGGTATCCTTGGAAGCACTGGTCATATGGATGCTTAACTTGATGCCCAGCACTGAAGTAAACATGTTTCCTGCATTTCAGATATGAACTAAGTAGGTTTTGTGCAGTTTTCAAATATACTAAGCATACTGTTTTTCCTTTCATGGAATACACCAACTTGGTGAATTTCCATGAACTTGAAAATTCTGGAAATACATGGCTTTCTAACAGGAAACTGTCTCTAGTTCCATATTAAATTTGGGAGGTGCAGGGAAAAATTAATCTTACAAGCAAATGTTATGATTAGATATGATTAGAAATGTGTCCCATGGGATAAATCCAGAGTAAAGCCAACTTTGACTACATGATTATGCACCACGTCTCTACATGTCTCGAACAACATAAGCAGCATGACTACAATGGTACGCTGCAGTTATGTAGTCCCAGGACATCATTAGAGGAACAGATCCAATATCATAATGCTGCCTTCTGGCTTCTTCCAGACACTGTGGAGACTTCCACAATGGCTTCACCTCTTCCCTGCCAGAACTCCAACATGTTAGGGTTGTGGCAAAGCAAAACAAAGGAGAGGTTCTGGATCTCTTGGCTCCACAACCCTCTAGCCATCCACCACATCACCAACACAGAGGAAAATATAGACCAATTGTGTGGCTTGTGCAACTGAATGGGAAACAATATTACAGCTGGTTTTTCAAAAAGCCCTGTGGTGTGTTAGAAAAAAACAAAATCCACGGTGTGCCCTCTACAGCTTAAGATACATTAGAGATTTTGGCATCAACAGCATTCTATCGTTGATTTTTCTCTTTGGATTGCAGCCTAGGTGGATGAAAAGGAAGGCTGGGAGTGATGACCATAAACACTAAGAAACCATGCAGGGGATTAGATTGCCAGTATTTCTGGCAAAAAAGGCTAGTCTAACAGAATCTCTTGTATTGTGCAATAAAAAGGAGCAACACTAGTGCATGGTATGTAACTCAAACCCTGTAAACTCTGAAAGCAAGTTACTAAATACACAAAGCACTCGTGCATTTTCAAATGAACAAACAAGGAATACCAAGAACATAGAAACATTTTCTTTCTTTCTCTAATGTCAAACCAATAAGAATTTTTAAACTTGAAAGTTATTTATTTTCAAAGTTAGAAATCTTCATTTAAATCCAAAGACAAGGACAGCATTTCACATAGAGCTTGTAGGAAAAAATACACCAGAAAAGAAAGAGAACTTAAATGGTCGCAAATGGTGAATAGGAAGGGCATTAAAAATCATGCATGAAAAAGATCCCATTTGTTATTTGGAATGATGTAATTTGTTATAAGTGAATGGCAAAAAGTAGCTGTCTATCCAAATTTAATGTCACTGTTTAACAAAATCAGTGTATCAGAGCATCAGTGTACAGAAAGCACTCATGACTGCCGGTATAAAGAACATGAGACACGCTCATGGAGGATTACAAGCCAAAAAGGGTCACTTCTCCAAGCTCTGCAACCAAGTCCAGGAAGAGCTGGGCCTACAGGCCATAGGAAGTCTCCTCCATGCCCCTCAGAAGCTCCCCACATTTCTCTAATAGGAAGAAATGTTATTCCACACTCCCCAAAAAAAATCCTTGTCACCTAGGAGAAAGGACCTAATATGTGGGAAGCACTGCTTCTCACAATACTTACCTTAAGCATATGATTATGTAAAGCAAGAAAATATGACCTGATTCTTTTTATTTTCTATGAGTCTGGGTGCCATTTCTGATCCCACATGGGATTCAGAATAGTATCCTAGCAATGCTCAATTATTGACAGTTTTAGCATGTTATTACACCAATTCTTAAAAGTAATCTTCCAAATTCTACCTCGAGAGCTTCCAGAGAAATGACAGTTTACTTCAAAGTAAGGCACTAATGCTTATTTGACAGGTACTCAGCATAAAATAACAGGGATGTGGTGGCGCTGTGGCTTAAACCACAGAAGCCTCTGTGCTGCAAAGCCAGAAGACCAGCAGTTGTAAGATTGAATCCATGCGACGGAGTGAGCTCCCGTCACTTGTCCCAGCTCCTGCCAACCTAGCAGTTCGAAAACATGCAAATGTGAGTAGATAAATAGGTACCACCATGGTGGGAAGGTAACGGCATTCCGTGTCTAGTCGTGCTGGCCACGTGACCATGGATACTATCTATGGACAAACGCTGGCTCTACGGCTTGGAGATGGGGATAAGCACTGCACCCTGGAGTTGAACATGACTGGACTAAATGTCAAGGGGAACCTTTACCTTAACCTTTACCAGCATAAAATAAGGAGCAACATCAATTTCTTCAGCTTGTAGGGATAAATAATTCCATGGAAGAGAATGTTCCAAAAATCACAGTATGGGACACCTCACAAGCATGGAGTTGCCTGTATTAGTCATTCTGGGTTAAACCTCACTGGTTGTACTGGAAAATCCTTCTTCACTAGGGCTGTGCACTATAATTTATCTGCTCTTTAGACTACTCTTTCATACCAGCAGAACAACAATGAAAGAAATAAGTGAAAGCAATAAAACGCACAATAAAGGTAAATGGACCCTGTGGAGCAGAACATACCAGTTGACTATGGCCAAATGATCTTTCAACTGTGAACTTAACCTTCTTTAAATTCCCATATCTTGCAATTTTCTTAAACAAGAATCCCAGCACATTCATTCTCCAAAATAAATTCTATGATTTTCATAGAACATATATAAGTTAGGACAATGCCCTAAATTTTAGAGTTGACTACTTAAAATGTCAACTGAGCAAATACCTTTTCTGCAAACACCCATCTTCATAAAAATTACTTTATTCTAAAGAGCATAAAAACGAACCTAATATCTGAAACCCTAGGGCAAGGGTATAATAAAATGTTCACAAATAGAAGTCAGCTGGACTGTTGCACAAATCAATGTTAGGGGTTGGTGAAGAAACAAATCACACACATCTCAGTACACAACATGAATTTCAATACAAGTACCAATTCCACTCACAAGCAACACCCACTGTGTTCACTATGGTAAACTCCCTGAAAGCGCACACAGTGTTGCAATTTAAATCCTACTGAGTTTAGTAAAGGTATTTAATTTTCTTCAAACTTATTGTAAACATTGAAATAACATTTTTAAAATGATTAGATATATTTATGAACCATTTTGTCTGGCAATCTGATTTTTTTTAAACAATGAACTGTGAACAGCACAGCCTCCAAAATATACATTATTTTCATTACTCCTACCAAGTAAAACGTACTATGGAAAATCTACAAGCAAAAAACATCCAGGAGGTTCACAGGATTCAAAACATTGTACCCGTTCAAACTAGTAAGTATGTTCGGACTTTGTCTTCTGACGTGATGTTACGCCGGAGTCACTGGCAAATACTCCCGTACAAACATACCAATCTACACACACAACATTTTTAGAATCCTGGCAGTGAATACACCAGCCAAGATCCAGAATTCTGACACATGGAGTATTGCTTGAGTGGGAGGGGCCCAAATTCTGTATGATGGAATGGGGATTCCCCATCGTAAACAGGGATTTCCTCTGCACGTGCCCAGGAATTCCTGTCTCACCGAAGAGAACAGGGCAGCCATTTATAGGGGTCACTTGCGTCTGCGCAAGAAATTCTGAATGGGCACATGAAGGCTTCTCACTTCATATTCTTCCAGCTGCTTCATGCCCACGCCAGACCACCTGTGACTTCTCTATTTGAATGTATGTATTTTAAATACATTTTCAGTTCAATATGCATTTTTGGAGAGAAACACAATATTTCAAGAATGCTTATTCAATTTCAAACCACAGTTGTCTGAAATGCTCCTATTTTACAGAACAGGGAGCAATTCATATTGGGGAAAGAGCTTATTCAAATATTCACATTTCACACAGCCAAAACAAATCTGAACATCTCCCTCAAAGAACAGAACTGTCACTCTCTGTGCAAACCTAAAATATATTTATTCAATAGTAGCGTGCTATGAATGCAATGGGACTTAACAGATGGTAAACATATTAAAGCCTGCAGCCTTTATAAGGCAAGGATGATACAAATTATATTCAATACATCAAAGTGGTTCAATTTTAACCTAGATCGTTCTGCACCAAAGGAGTTAAATCTTTACAAAAACACTGACATCAATACCATATTGAGGGAACAACAGAAGCTGTTGTGAGTTTTTAATATTGGCTATAAATATTACAATCTGGAAAGGAGAACTTCCTGACATTTCTATTCTGTTTCTTTGTATTCTATGACAAGAAACCCGTGTTTAAAATTGACTTCTTCTTTTCTGTAAATAGTATTCATAAAACAAATGATCAGTTATTACCTTGAGAACTCTCTGCTTTCTCCTCTGAGGCCTTTTGTTTTCAGTTAGCACCTAAAGGAAGACATCAAACCGCAGAATAAGTCTTTGTGAATTAGCAAGGTCATTTACTATTATTTCGTCCAACTCATTTCCTCCTCTTGGAATATGAAACGACTTTAAAATATAACCATGGGGAAGCTTTCTATGCAGAACTTAAAAAGGAACCGATGAGACTTGAGACGCTGAAGTCGCCGGAATCAAAACAAAAACGGAAAAAAGAGGGTTAACAAGGAAGGAGGGGGGAAAAAAACCCACAACCTTTTCCCCCACTCAAAGTCGGGTTTAATAAGGCTCTGCATTCTTCACAGCAAAACCCACAAGGTAGCCATCTTGCTTCCTTCTGCAGAAGAACCCTTTACAGTGTTGCACTCCTTCACGCTGCTTTTTGGGTATTATTATCATGGTGTTTTAAAAGGAACAGCAGCAGCAGCAGCACAGCAAGCAAGCCTTGCCTGCCAACACTAGGGACGTGCTAGGCATGCCTCTCAAATATTATTACACAGACACAGACACACACGCACACACACAGGCTCCAGAAAAGGCTCAGCCAATGGCAGCGCGAGGCCAGCCGCTTCCAAAGCGCTCTTCCCTTTTTTGCCTAGCCCTTCCTAAACAAAGGGTCTCCTATGTGGGCTTTTTCCTCGGAGCAGGAGGACACAAGGGCGGGCGCAAGCTGTGACATGGAGCCCCAGCGACCGTGGATCCGGCCGAGGGGCAAGGCAGGTTGGCAGCGGGGGTTGGGGAGGAGGCAGGCGGGCGGGCAGGCAGGCAGGCAGGCGGGCGAGAGAGTAGCAGCTGAGGCGGAAGAGAAGCGCAAACACATCTCTCTCTCTCTCTCACTCACACACACACACACACATACATATGGGGGGAACAAGCCGCCCCAGCTGTTGGTCTATCTTTGACCGATGGGCTTGACGATGAATGTTGGAGCGAAGGACATCTGGCCCCAGCTGTTGGTCTCTCTTTGACCGATGGGCTTAACGATGAATGTTGGAGCGAAGGACATCTGGAGGAAAGATGGGAATCTGATCCCATCCTAAGAAAAGCCACGATCACTCCTTCACAAGCGCAAAACACGCGCGCATTCAAGAGGGGAAGATATTGTGCATTTTGACTTTATAAGGCAGTGGCTACATATTGGTGATTTTTTAAAACTTTTTTTTTTAAGGAGGGTTACCCGAGGACGCAGTCCGCTTGGGCAACCCACCCTCTGGGAGTACGCGCGATAGCCACGCCTCGATCCTAATTAATAGCTAATGATAAGGGAGCGAACTGAGCGGGCGGGGGGGGGGGGGAAGAGGGCAAGTTTTCTGCAGAATACCCTCTGTTTTTTTCTGCAGAGAAGGAAATTGTGTTGCCTTATGAGCATTTTTCATTCCTGGGGGGGGGAGAAGGGAAAAATATTCAGAGCTTTTGAAAGGTTAGATTAGTGAGCTTGAGGCATTCATCTGGCGTAGCTTCAAGGGAAATATAGGTTTGGTTCTATTTGTTGGTAATTTTTTTCCCTTCAAGGTATACGTTAACTGTCCATACGCACACACCAGCAACGTGAGAGATACAGAGAGAAACCACATCGGGAAAACATGAACTCAGTTGGGTCATTATAGCATCATGCTAGCAATAAATCTTTTTTTCTGAATTGACTGTAAAATGATTTAACTCAATAAAGGAAGTACAACCTTAATTTTGCAAGACTTGAGTAGGGCGGTTAATGACAGGACATTTAGAGATCACTTATTTATAGGGTCACCATAATAGGGTCACTTGACAGCACATACAGTAACAATAAGGGTTCCCAGCCCCTGCCCCGTGGGCAAGTTAGAAAAAACGAGAGAAAAAATGACAGTTCAGAATTGAAATCTCCCATCCACTGCTACATGCATTACATATTGGAGCTGTAGTCCAGTCTCTACTTCTGGAAAGGCTCATGATCAGGAAGGCTGGCCTAGGATGCAGATTTAAAAAACACTGCCTTATCTTGTAATTGCTCTAAGGTGGGGTGGGCAACTTATGGCCCTCCAGATGCTATCAGACAGCAACTCCCTTCAGTCCTAACCAGCACAGCCACTGTTAGCGGATGATGGGACATACATTCCAACTATGGGAAAGAAGTGGGTGGTGTTTGTGGGGTTTTGCTGTTTATTTGCCTAGAGTACTATGAATTTACTAATCGGGCAGTACATAAAACAAACGAACAACCCACCTCTAGACAGCTTCACATTCTCCATCCGTTGTATGTGCAACAATTAGGCAAAACATCCAAAGCATTTTGAACATTTAGAAGCACTGTAGAAAAGGATTGTTGTCACGATGACTACATGCTAGGTCCCTGATGGCTATATGAACTCAAAACCTCTAGCTTAACACCTGTACATTGCTCACTTCATTTGGAAGGAATATTCATTAGAGATCTTAGGATCTGCATTGAACTAAACTCTGCTGACGTCAGCAGGCAAATTTCTGTAAGCTTCTTATTTGCAGATAACTAGAGGATTCTACCTTGGAAGAGATATTAGTCAAAAAGCCCCAAGTTGACTGTTCATTAATCTGACCTTGCAGTTAAATCCATAATAGTTACCAGTATTCAAATATTTGTTGCCCACTGCCCCCACACACCTATTACAGCATGCCAATAATAAAAAGAACCTAGTTTACAGACTCTTCCCCTGCTCACTTACTAAGAGCCCACTTTTAGTCACAACCAGATCAAGTGGCAATTCATGACGATACATGTTATTTGTCATCTGCACTTTTGTACGACGCCATGTAAAATACTTACAGCCCATTGCAGTTTAATCAGTGAGCTACCAATAATGTTACAAGCCCATATGAATTCATGAGAGGATGCTGTGCAGTGAGTCCCTTTGGAATGTGGGTCCATCAAAGAGACATGCGCAACTGTCTGGGGACATCCTTCGCTTACTCCAATCTTTCCAGTGTTCTGACATGCTGAATCACCAGCTCCAATCTATGACTCCAAAACCAGAAGGAAGCTGCCTGCCACCTCCTGTTCCTCAGGCATAAGTTATGAACCCCATCCCACCAAAAGCAAAGGGCCATAGTGTCTCACTAGGAAATTAGTTATCCAACCTGCACAAACAGTGTGCATAAATACTGATAAAAACCAAGTTGTTTCCTACACTTTTAATGCACACTTTTGGGGGAATGTTTTCAAATCTACTATATAGCAATCATCCTAAACAGAGAACCAAGGAACAGGATTGGCCTTACTATTAGACAGAGTGAAGCAGCAGCAGCAGCTTCTCAGCCATTCTGCCAGAGTTTTCCAGCTATACATGTTTCATAGCTTGCCCTGCATTCTCCAGAGTAGTCTGCTGTGCAGAGGCATATGTAGCAGCGGACACTGCCCTGTCACCACTGTTGAAGTCACCTTCAGCTGCCAGTTCAGTTCGCTCCTTTACTGTATATGGAGTTGATAGGTAGCATCTTGTGCTTTGCCTCTGGCAACACAAACTTTTAGGCTGGTTCTGCCATGGCGATGAAATTTGTTCCAAGAAAGTAAGGGGATGTGATCTTGTTCGGGGTCAAAAAAGAACTAGCAAGTATCTAAAATCCAAACTGCTCCTGGTTGAAGGCTTGGAACCATGTCATATTGCTTTATTTAAACCATTTTTAAACAACCCGCCCTCACACGACGCTTCATGAGCTAAATGGCAAGGACGTGCAGGTAGATGTGAAATACACAGTTATACACGTAAAAATCACATTAATCACATTTGTTGCCTTGTAAGCAAGTGTATGTGTGAGAACACATGCAACCACAAATTGATAGATTAAAGAGATTACCCTACACAAAGTTTCAGCTTTTAGTTCAAGAAAAGTATGTCAGATTAAGCAGCCTTTATCTCGGTTTACTGGGCAAAGTTTAAGAACCTGTGCTGTCCAATCTTGTGTCTATTTACTCAGATGTGAGTTCCAATGTATTCAGCAGAACCTATTTCTAAGTATGCAGAGAATTACAACCCTAGGACACAACCAGATGCTCATTTACCGACTTGTCAGTCTTACTGAGAACAATGGCATTTACTTCTATGTAAATATGGGTACAATCCACACTTCTTGGTCTCTCATATCGCAACTGCTGTTTAATGATTAATAATTTTCGAGTACTGTTCCTTTACAGGTATGATTCTACGGTTTGTATTTAAGCACAATAAAAAAGTACAATATGTTAAGATACTAGACTACTTGCATAAGAGAAATGTTCCTCCAGAGTTTGAAACTGCCCATTAGAACCAATATGCAAACTCAGTAACTATTGCTTATGGAGTAAAGATTTTTTTTTTTTGTAGGGGGGGTTGTATGCTCTGCAATTACAGCACTCAAATTTCAGGATGAATGCAAAGTATCATGTTAGGTCTCCCTGCCTATTTCTGGCTCTGTTCTGGGAATTCATACTGAAAACCAGATCTTTGGTTTCTCTCTTTTGCCCCCTGTTGCATTAAGAATGTGCCTTTTAATAATACTTTGCTTACAGGTATTTTATTACAGAAGAAATTTCCCAGTCAATTTGTACACCATAAGGGTCAAGGAGAAAAAATAATAATTTTAGTGACACAATGGTCTAGAATTCTCAAGATGAAAATAAGGGTTTGTCACCAACACAAATTGGAAGAGACAGGGGCAATTTCATAAACTGAGAGCACTATAATCAGGGTCCAAAATGTGTACTACTTCCATGCAATAGAAGAGCCTAAGAAAATGAAACTGACAGCAAAAAAGAAGTTGAAGAATAGATGGTAGCTCATTAAATAGGCAGAGGGAAGGCTTAAAGTAAAGGGTGAAGAAGCAAAGCTACAATACAATGGGAAGGTCAGGAGAAATCAAAGAGAAGCATGTTTAGCTTGGAAAAAAAGGTTGACAGAAAAGCTAGAATTCATCCTTTTCCTGAACTGGCCGCTGATGAAATCTTTTAAACTCTTTGTGTTAAATGCTTCCTGTCTCAGCTCTGTTTTTTCTTTTCTTGTGACCCCAGCAGATGTCAATCT